CATGGTATATTCAGTGTTCAATGATATTTGAACTAATTCATTTTAAAAATAGTGTAACCAACATCATATGATAATCATTATTGTAGTCATTACTCCACTTTGGTTTGATACATAATTATTTAACGGGAAAATTACACGTAAGATCGTTTTTCTTTTCGATGCAAACTACTGACAAATAATTTGATGTGCGAGGGTTACAGTATACCGGTATATCATTACTCTCTTTTCAACTCACAACTTTGCATAGCAACGTCTTAGCAATTGTCTGACCCAGTGTTGAATGCTGATTTTCTAATATGTAAAACCATCAAGACTAAGTGATCGAGTGTGACAGATCGACAGAGAGTGTTTATAAATTTCATTGTAGCACCTGCCCAACTCCGATTTTCTTGGAATCGGTGACTGTCCTGCTCTCAATTTGTACAGTAAATAATGTGTACCGTTAGCTGGCTTACTGCTCGTTATTTACAGATTTTATAATGTCGAACTTTTTCCGAATAATCGAGATTACGAACATTAATCAAGCAAAAAAGTCCTTATAAACAACAGAAATCGGAAGCAGAACAGGAACAGGCCTCTAAAACCATCATAAGTATATACAGTGTATATAAAATGTATATGATATATGTATTAAGATTATAGAATGGAGTCATAGTTTAATTTTAATGTTGATAACTAAATATCTTATGCCCTGTTTTGTGGTTATCACTCTTATCGCTCAGATTTCAGATAACAAAGAATTCATGTACATGTTTGTTTATCGTATCCATATCTTATCCAAATGATTATATAAACTTGTAAACTAACACACTTATAAATAACATTTTTTTTAACTGATAAAACTTTCATGTTCATTGTTGTCATTTACAAAGGTGAAGGCTGCATCTTTATCAATAAGCCTATCAATAACGCCTCTGATATATGTCTATAGTTATATATTAACCATGAAAATGAGTGAAACTTTTGTAGAAAATTTAAACAAATTATAGGGATTAAATTTTAGTTATTAGATATATTGACGACGTTTTGTCAATTAACAATGGTAATTTCCATTCTTATGTCGAAAGATAAACTAGTGTCCCGGTGAGCTTGAGATAAAAGATACCACAGAGTCAGACATATCTGTATCATATTTGGATATTTTACCTGAAAAAGACGTTAATGGTAATCTAACAATCTTGCTCTATAATACACGTAATGACTTGAAGTTTTCAAACGTCAACTTCCCTTGCTTATGAAGCAATATACCTTCATCACCTGCATATAATGGAGTTTATATATCTTTGTTGATTCGATACGCAAGAGCATGCACTATGTATGAACAATTTCTAAAACGAGGTAAATTATCTACATACAAGTTGATGAAACAAGAATACATGTATCAGCAAGTCTCTTTTAAAGTCATCATTTCGTAAGTACATGTATATGGTCGATACATTGACCTTGTCAGCAAATACAATTTTCACTGAGTCAAATGCTGACTGACGTTTTTCATACTAATTGTTAGTCCATTATTTATACATTGAATTGAGACGGAGTTTTCCGTTATTTCCCGATCATGGCAAGGAGCACACGGCGGGTGTGACCGGTCGGCAGGGGATGCTCACTTCTTCGTGGCACCTGATCCCAACTCTGATGTTTTGGAGGTCCGCATTTGCTCTGCTCCTATTTGTATTGTTTTATGGACTTTTGATCTTAAATACTGTTTGTTATCTCCATATGTTTTTCATCAAGTAAAAATAGAATTAAAACTTTTATGTACTAAAAAAAAAAAGAATTGAGGAATGATAACAGGACTTCATTTATTTGCTTTAAACCTACTAAAAAGAAACAAGGAACATTTGCCGTAATTGAGCAGCAATATGTAAGTTCAAAGCACACTTGAAATATGGTGAAAACGAACAGTAATCGATCTCTAAAGTCTATTGCACATACAAAGTTGAACAGAGCAAACACAGACCTCTAAAATCTTTAGAGGTGGGATCAGGTGCCATAAATAACAAATGAATGCTTTTGAATGCCATATTTAATGTGTTCAGCAAGCTAAAACAGATAAAGATTGCGACATGATCCCCAGTAATGCATACAAATGTTGCCAGCCACTTATTTGAATAATGTTGAGTCCGGTATTCCAGTTTTACAGAGTCGTTTTTCGTCTACAGCTGACATTCACAAGGCTTTCCCTGTAAAGATACAAAGAAACTTAAATCTAAATCGATTATTAGTTTGGGAAGAAAGTTTATTAGAAGGCAGAGGTAATCATGTATGGATAATGAATCTGATCTGATCTATATTTCGGTTCGAGATTTTCTAGGAGGTGTCGTGCTAAACATACCAACTATTTATGAAGCGTTTAAAACGAATTCAGTCGGAAAAGCTGATCACAAAAGATAACTGACATCTTTAAAAATGAATTTTATATCTGCTATAATTAAAACAAAACTATGCTAGACTGCTAGCAAAACCAGTTGAATTCTTTGCCTTTTTGTCGGCGTACTTTAAATTTGATTTAGTTTTTTGTACATTATACATACAACCGTTGACATCGCGGAGCTACCTTTTTCATTTCACATATATATCTGTTGGGTTGGTTGCAGTTCCCTAGATGCCAGTGATAATGATACGCTTGGAAGAACATGCCACACAGATATTCCCCTGTTGCCGGACTCACGGGCTCACCCCCGTACCAATCGTACTTAGTGCACGCCTGCTGGGTCAATCCCCACCCGTACGTCTCCTGACCAGGATGAAGCAGTTCGTTCAGACCATGCCACGCCCCTCTGTCGACTGAAATATCAGAACAATTCAATTTAAAATTGAAATAAAAAAAGCAAATAAAAACAACTCAAGAAACCTATTACTTTTTGAACCTGGGATCACCAAATTCCCTTAAAAAACTTCCTAATTTTTTATGACAAAATGTAATGTATTATACGAGATGTGATTCTAATGGAGTGATGAATAAAATGTTATGTTATTTTTTACCTTTATATCATCTGCCTAATAAATAATACGTTACCCCCAAAAACGATGGATAGAAGATATTACCTCCCATGGCTATCAGTAGTTCCCGAAGGAAGGAATTCTCATCAGCACTTTCTATACAAGCTAAATGGGCTTTCATACTTGCACATTGTATCTGGAAAAGAACAGTTTATCAATTTTCCAAATGTTTAAATCCTTGAATCAAGTGTGATGAATAAAATGGAGAAAATGACGAGTGAGACAATTATAATAAAAGAGAAAAATACCTAGATAAAAAAGAATATCTTTAATTTAACTTACCGCTGCGTTTACCCAGGGTTTTTCGTCACTACTTAACATATAGCAACTATTTTCGTAACTAAACCATCCGTATGGGCATGCGTCAGGACCTCGGTGGGGATCAGCATGCCCAAACATCTCGTACTCCCTCTTTTTTGGAGACACACCCATTGATGCTGCAGAGGCATACCCGGGGCCAGTAGGTGTTTCAGGACTTTGATGCTGTTGGTCGGAAATGTCAGGACCAGTTAATAACGAATCTATGGAATGAATAAAATGGTTTTTTTTCATATTAATTGTAAGGCCATTATATATACACTGAATTTTCTAAAGATTTTCTTTTCGATCTTTCCCGATCATGGCATGAAATACATGGCGAGAGTGACCGATCGGAAGGGAATGCTCACTCCTAAATGGTTACTGATTCCACCTCTGATGTTTTAGAGGTTCGAATTAGCTTTACCCGCGGTTGGTATTCTTTGAATGGACTTTAGCTTGAAATCTGTTTGACCTCTATATAATTATTGTAAAAAGAACAATCGATCAGTAACGATGCTTGAAAACGCACCGAAACAGTACAACTGTATAAACGTTTAAAATCATCAGAAATGTGACCAGGTGCTCTCGAGGAGTAAGAAGCCCGTGTTGACTTTTGTCATGATAGGATAAACGGAAAAATCAGTTGCCAATTCTGTATGAAGATACATCTAAGTCTTACAATTGGTATGTAAGACTTTCGTCAATATTCGACATAAGGAAGACCGTGTTTCTTAGCATTGTACACAACGACCATTGAATTTGCGAAAGGTGATGAGACGTGATTGCAAAAACACTTGTAGCATCAATTGATTCTAATACTTATCAGTAATCTGTCTCTTTATAGATATTGTCCGTACGAAGAGCATGCTTTTGAGTATCGGATAGACAAAGATATTAATACATAAACCGATGAAATATGCAGACGATAATGGTGCATGTATATTGCTATATGAGCAAGAGATGTTGACGATAGAAAGATTGAAGCCATCATGTTTATGATAAAACTATATACATGTACTTAGTTTGCATCAGTGTCCTTCTCTATTGTAATATCCAAATGCTAAGTGGGACTTTTAAAGTTTTATAGCATTTTCATCATCTGTTTTTGTAGCCTTTCTTTCTTTTATTTTCAATTTTATAATTTACCAATTGTCATAAGATACCCGGTATATACAGTATAAAAGGATTAAGGATATGCGATCCTCAGCCAGGAATGATAACTCCAAAAATTATATTTAATTTGAAATGCATCAAAATGAAGCTTGAAAATGAAATTTTTTCATGCAACAATTCTCATTTTAATCATCTTTATAAGATTCAAGGTTTTTGGAAGTCTTAGAAAAGGTCTTATAAAAGTTGAAATTTGTACCGTATAAAAGGAAAAAAATGAATACCGTTTTAGAGAAATAAGATTTTCTTGAATCCAGCCTTAGATACCAATGCTAATTAGCATGATATGAAATAAGAAGTGATTTGTAGTGTCTTGCAATGATAGCAAAAGGCTTTTACACTATGTATTATAGAATATATGACGGAAATAGAAGACAAAAAATATCAAATAAGTATAGAAAATAATCATTTCTCTGAATGCCTGGATACCTACCGTTTTTTAACCTAAAATATATTTGTTGATCAATTTGCAATTAGAAAATGCATTGCTGATACTCCAATTCGCTTTTTCTGCAAAAATATTGGAGATTTGACAATTTTCCTCATATAATATGATTAAATTTAATCTTTAACTTTAAAGAAATACTGTAGATAAATTTGCATAACTTTGTGGATTCATAGATACTTTTATGAGTATTTTTGATTACTTAACTGCTAATCTTATAAACCTGAGGATCGGACTACCTTAATATGACATGCCGATATATATTTCGATAAAAAGTACGTGAAAATGGTCACGTTTTGTTTAATATGTCTTTCTTTCCTTTTTTTATTATACATTTGAGGGAAATAAAAATCCTGTCTCACGAGTAAACTAAATTCCATTTCAAATACAAAGCAATGATTTTTTCTGTTGGTTGCATTTTCAACCTATCATTTTTTAAGCTAAAAACTCATTCCTCTAAATTGTCCACTGGGAAACCAGAGTGTCTTGTATTATGTTTTATGGACTGTTTTAGACAGAATGATAACATTTAAGACATGTCTTGAGACATCTGGATCTGTACTTTACGGAATGATACTTAATAGAAAAAAATAAAACTGCCTTTTGGGAAACATTAAAATGACTTAGATATCAATTAATATATTTTATTGTATAGTTTCTCGTTAATTAAAAAAAAAGAGTAATATTAGATTTTAAAAAAGTACATTGTAACACTACGTCTGTAACAAGATCATATTTATTTTTGGAAGCATTTGAATTCCGTGTGCGGTGATTCGATCGAATTTTCTCACAAGAAAAAATCTTTAAAATGCATTTCACTTTTTTAACATTAAAACAATTGTGACATTGAGTTGCTATATTTAAACTTGGGTGTGAAAATTTGTATCGGAAATTGTACACGCCATGCACACTTGACTTAAAACACATCTGGAACATCAGGTAGCATAGAACATCTAAAAAAAAATTCTTTACAACAATTTACATTATTTTTTTTTGAAAATTTGGAAAAAGGAGGCAATAATTATTACTGGATCATACAATGTTTCTTAATTAATGCTTATGATGTAGAAGAAGAGCTGTTTGTTTTTTTTATTATTATTATTATTATTTTTTATTTTTACTAAAATCAGATATCAAAATTACTTTTACGTTTGAACAAATACAATATACCACTCGGAAATTTCCCTCAAAAGACCCTGAGGACATGCCAGTTATATGCTACTTCAATAAAAACTAAATTAATATCTAAGGATGGGTCATTTGAAAATTTACTTTGTTGAATATCACTATGTATGAACACAGAGGACACTGGAGATAATAATAAAACGATGACATTATCTATGTTGCTCCATTAGATTAATACCAACGATGTTTTGAAGTTTGGTGGAACTAAATCTGCACCTTTTTAGTTTTTGGAAAAAAAATCTTCGAACGCTAACTTCCTATAAATCATCTGAAGTTAACTTAAATGTCTCTATTTCGATTTAATACTAGTATGCAAAGCATCATTTGAGTACAAAAAGTTTAAAACTGTTTCAATCTACTGACAAATTCGTTGATGACGAATATGCTATGGCTAATATGATGATTTATTTGCAAATACCTTCTAATTCTAAGGGATCTTTTGACTTAAATGTCCCATACCCATTATTTGTTTGTTTAAAATCATTTCTAGAATTTTGTATTACACACTTCTTACTCTGCAATTCTATAACCAATACTGGTACTCTACGAGGTATTTGATCCTATCTCTTCTGTTACCAAGGGAATTTCACAGAATTTCCGATATCGATATCTGTTATAATTAATTCTTATTGTTGATCATTATTTACTTTGAAGAAAAGATCGAAATGGAACCCAGTATTTGAAATAATAACCATTTAGTACTTTTTTTGATCTTCATCTTTATGAAATTATCAACTTTGGTGAAAAGTGATTTTTTTTATTTAAAACAAAAGAAATGCTAAAATCTTAGGAATTCCCTTAAAACATAAGTGAACTGTCGTTTAAAAATATTTTTATATGATCTACACAATTCATTACATATTTTCTTTTTATTAGAAAGAAAAAGTCCCTATTCCCTATTGCTCTTGTGGTAAACAGGAAGATGCCTATCATTTTTTCTTTGTTTGTAAAAAATACTGTAATGCTCGAAGTAATCTTTTTGACTATCTTTTTCGACTTGATTTAAACATCATAGATGTACACCTACTGCTATGGGGCAACGAAAATCTCTCAATCGAAGTAAACATTGGCATTTTTGCCGCTGTTCATAAATTCATAAATGAATCCTGTAGATTTAGCTACATATATTATTGAATCTTATTTGTACATGTTTTTGCTACTATTTTGCATGACAATTATTATGTGTTTTTTTTTAAGGAGAAGAACAAGTAAGTTGTTAGAACTTGTTTCTTATCCTTTTGCTTGTCAATAAAATATGTTCAAAACAAACAAAGAAATTGTGATATACTAGTAACGCATGAATTTATTACTCTGGTATTCAACCTGAGTGAAATTACAATCCCCTCCAAGCAAGGACATTTGAAGTTTTACTTTTAATATAATACTACAAAATAATGGCAAGGTGAAATATAAATATTCAGTCAATCAAAATCAAATGTCATTTCAAATACATACGTAATCCGGTTCCTAAGACTCCTCCGGAATAGTCCGCTCCAGCAGTCGCATCCGCTGTAAGATCAAAGGACTAGAGTTTGATAAAATATAAAGTGCAATTTTGAAAATGACATACATTTTCAAGTTTTTATACCCCCCCCCCCCCAATCGTCGATGATTCGGGGAGAAATATTTTGATATGTTTTAAATAATGTAGATAGCTTCTATGTTATTACCCATTAAATAAATAGTAAACTTATAGATGCAATGTTTACATAAAAGGAATATTTTTCCTGTCCAAGATAAATAAAGGAAATGTTCAGTAAAACTGAATATTTTCCGAATTTCATTTGTTTTTCCAAACTTGAATATTTCTTTGTCGAAATTAATAATTCTTTCAAGAACGAAACATAAAGTATAAGAACAGTCATGAATATTAAGTGTATTTATCTCATGTTGTAAATTTTGAATTTACTAGGTGGAGATAAATGCAAAATTTACATAAATTTTGCGTTCATATCCCCCTAGTAAATTCAAAATTAACAACATGATATTCAGATAATAAGTTTAAGAGGAACGCCCAAATAGAATTCAATAGGATATAGAATTATAAAAATGTACCAACAAACTTGAGATTTTACAAACTTGATTTCTGCAATTTTATTTTTCTATATTTAATTGTACATGTATAATCAAATAAAAATTTATATTTGAGGACTTTATAAAACTAAAAAATACCTTACCTATTTTGGCTATCGATACCAGATACAAAACTGGAAGACAAATCATGTTGTACTCTTGCCCTTTAAAATAATCGACCCAACTTTTACTTTTATACTAATTCGTCCCCCTTCTGAATTAATCATTGCTTTATGATAATGCTACAGATGGTGTAGATAATTAAAATTCAATTTTTTCAACTTTGAGATTATCTTTTCGATTTTATGATAATAAGCAGATATAAGGAGATATTCATTGCAGGTTAATTATATAAAAATTTGCAGCATAACCAGTTCACGTTCCCAAGAAATACATACCGCCGATAAGATACGAGGGGCGTTCAATAAATAATGTCATTGGGGCTCGGAAAGAAACAAAAACACGTTTTTCTATGATTTAGTCTTAATGATTTAACTAAAATATTCTCTTTTAATTAAAACACATGTCCGTGACATTTTTATTCTATTTCTAATTGTTTTTAAAACACATTTTTGAGTATGACCCTTCACTCTAAAAAAAGTTTTACTTGTTGCTTTTAAAATAAGATATTAGATTAAGAAAAACTAGTAATTATTAGTAATCCATTTAGTCAGAATAGCAAGTAAATGACTATCATTGTTAGTAATTGTAATCATAATTAGTAATAAGGATAAATTCATTTACTTATAAAATGATTTACTAAGTATCAATACTTAATAGGAATTATATTACTTAGTAAATGAACTACTCATTTTTAGTAAATCATTATTACTTAATTTAGAGATAATATGCTTTCTATTTACTAAATTTTATGAATTATTACTAAGTAAATGTAATTCTGAAATTAATTAAAATCTAGAATTTTATTACTTAAAAGAATACTAAGTAAATGAAATACTTATCATATTTACTCTGATAGGAGAAATAATTTTGAAAGTACAACACGTGAATACTACTTCCAGTTTTCTTTATCAGAGTTCCCTAATTGAGCCCTCTGAGTAGTTTATTAGAAGAAATCTGTTAATGATGGCAACAATTTTACTTCCTTTTTCTTTTGCCAATTTCTTTGTAATTGTTTTATTATATTTAACAATAAAACATTTGATTCCAACATCAAAAGCCTTATAAATTGAATAAGTTGTATCTTTTTAAGGACCATTTTAAAAATGGTTTAATGTTTCAAGTACTTAATACAGCATTTTTATTAGTATAACTTTTTTTTTCACATGAAGGAATATTTAGAAGAAAGATAACTCCTCCTCATAGACAATTAATATGGAAGCCAAAATTCTATTTTACATTTCAAGAATTCAATCCCGATAGTGATTAGACTACCATATTTAAGTAATTACTGCTCTGAATTCTCCTTGATTTAGTAAATAAATTATTGTTTTAAGTAAATCAATTAAATACAATTTAAACAAGATGTGTTTGTGAAACACTTATGCCCCGTATGGCAACATAGCAAAGGTTAAACTTTTCTTATATGCAAATTTAATTTATTGGTATTTCTTGATATCTCCAAGGTCAAGGTCAAAAGGTCAAGGTTTTTGGTATCTAATGAAAGGTCCTGCCAAAAAAAACATATGTGAAATATGGAAACACTAGTCCCAACCCTTCAGAAGTTATGGTTACCAATTTTGAAATGTAGGTCAAACTCCAAGGTCAAGGACATAGGGTCAGATTTGGTGGTACATGTACTTAAAGAAAGGTCTTGTCACAAGGATGAAATATGTAAAATATGAATGCATTAACCCTAATCCTTTTAAAGTTATAGTCAAGGGTTGCTTTTTAAAAGTGGGTCAAACTCCAAGGTTAAGGTCAAAGGGTCAAAGTTCTTGGTATCCAATGAATAATCTTCTCAAAGGGATTACATATATGTAAGTATGAAAGCACTATCCCTTACCGTTCAAAAGTTATGGCCAAGATTAAAGTTTTTTCATAAGGATGGAAATCCCCAAGGTCAAGGTCAAAAGGTCATAGTTGTTGGTATCCAATGAAAGTTTATTCAACAAAAAATATATATGTGAAGTATAAATGTCCTGGTATTTACTGTTCAAAAGATTTGGATCAAGAATAAGTTTGGATTTTTTGTGTAAAAGTGAGTCAAACTTCAAGGTCAAGGTCAAATTTGGTGATACTCAAAGAACGGTCTTGTCACAAGGAATACACATGTGAAATATGAAAGTCATAGCTTCGCTAAATCCAAAGTTATGGACAAGGTTAATGTTTTTGCGGATAAACTGACAAACAGAGAGACAGCTAGACAGACAGAGAGACAGACAGACGGACACGACAAAAACTATATACCTTCGAAACTTCGTTTGAGGGGGCATAAAAATATTAGTTATATAGAAAATAGTGGTAAAATGTAAGTAAAGACCAAGTAATGTTATCACTTATATACACAAATTTAAGTAAATATAAATTACTAAGTAAAAACTTTTTAGTGTGTAAGTAAAACAATTCTTTAAAATACAAAAAACAAGTAAAACATTTGAATTTAGTAATTGACATATATTTCAGTAATTGATTTAAAATTTTAAGTAAATTCTTAGTAATTATCTATTACTTATCTTTGTTATCTCAAGTAAAAAATGACTACTAAGTAAAACTTTTTTAAGAGTGTTCGTATACTGGAATATGGCAGATCCTATGATTTGCTGCACTTGTTTTTTTCTTTCTGATAGATGTTTATCTAAGTTAGGGAAATGAAACAAGTCAAATGTTGAAAGATCTTGCAAATTTTGTTGGTGTGACGAAACATTAACTTTCTGTTTATCCCCCAAACTCCCTTACTCTTCATGGCCTATGGGTTTGGACGCTGTCATAAAGAAATGTAGTGAATTCCTTATTCTGTTTCCTTCCTCTCATAAACCTTTCATTTTTTTTTGCAAAAAATTGTTTTCTAGACTCCACCAGAAATTGAAATTACTCCCCGAATATGAATTTGAATACTAGTAATAAAACAGTTAATATTTAAGAAAATAGCATATAAAAATGTTTTTGCGCTCTTGCAATTCTTTGCTATATTTTTAGGCCTTTGCAGTTTTGTCAAGTGTATCTTATTGTAAATTTCTTTTGAGGGTTTAAAGCAAATGGATTCAAGTTTCACTATCTGTTTGAGTTTCAGACAAACATGGATAAATAAAATTTTTGATTTTTTAAAAATAATTGTTTAGATATTCCTACATGCTGTCGTTTTCACTCATTTTTCAAAATATAGGTGTGAACTACCCCCAAAATGATTTCTTTCAATATTGCTATATGTCTTAAAGTCAATAAAACATAATCAGTGATAATTTGTTGAATTTTCGCAAATATTCATTGGTTGTTGTAAGTCCTTGTTGCCAAGGACGGTACCCATTTTTTATGCCTATTATATAATTTTTGTTTATTGAAATCCACCTGTTCACGTGTCTATAAAACAGGCATTTGTTGCTGTAAATTTCACATATTTCAGTTGATATATTTTTGGGATGTTATTAATTTTTACAGCTGCTTTAATGAAGCGTTTAATTTTACTCTAGTTTACTGATTCTTGATCATTCATTTTTAATGCAGTGTCTCGAATAGCCCTTGTTTTCCAGCTTCCCACATTGAAATAATGCGATGAAAAGTGGTCACAGAAACTGTTATCAATTCATTAAAGATTCAATACTGAGAGAAAGCCAAGCTTAATGTCATATGATTTCTACGAAAGCCCAGAAGGCTCATTCGAGATTCGAGTTTCCAAATACGAGATTCGAAATTCGAGATTCAAAATTCGAAATTCGAGATTCAAAATTCGAGTTTCGAGATTCAAGATCCAAACGAACCAATCAAAAGCGGGTTCAACATTTGATTATTTCCCTTTATTATGCTTTTACTATCAAGAAATAATTCAATATAATTATATCAAATGGTTCATTTCATTAAATTACAATGCAAGAAAAAGTGTTATATATATTAGAGGGAAATTTAAATAATTAATGGATTTTTGATCCGCAATGAATATTTCAATTTATATTATAGATTCTTAAATATTAAATAGATTACATATATCAGGAGTATATAATTATATTTTTGTATTGATGTCAAATTACCGGCCGCCAGGAGATGGTCGGTTATATGAATATGAAAGTTCGAAGTCGCTGTGCGTTTCTGCGGAGTTAACACAATTTAAATAAAAAATATTTAACATTCATATAATAGTATATTAAAAAGACGGTCTTAAGGTTAAAGAAAAACGCACAATAAACATAAAATTAAAAATTCTTATGAAGAATGAGGTAAATAATTCATCCAATACTGACTTAGAAATTTAGATATGTTTGAAGTGCGGAGAAAATTAAGACATGTGTTGGGCGTAGTCTAAATCAAAGACCGCGTTATGTATATTACACAATTTTACTTTCTCTATTCAAACGGGATTTGTTGTACGTATTTATTTCAAAATGACGTGTACATATGTACACATATAAACATTTTGAAAAATATGGTTAAATGTAAATTCATTAAAAGACTTAGCAGGCTACAAAATATTACAAGATTTGGCCCTTAGCAGACGAGGATAATGCACGTTTTACAATGTGCCAAGAATTTTCCCGCTACAACTCAAAGAGAAGAAATGAAGTGGCGGATCTAGAGAGAGTTTAGTTTTTTCCTCTAAGAGAGAGCAAGGATACCAACATATTTGCTGCATTTTTATTAAATTAAACTACACTGCATATCTAGTTGTAGATTACATTTCATTTTAGTTTTAAACTTTTAATGTAAATGCCATACAGGCCCACGGTTCAAAAGTTGTTGAAGCAGAGTACCAGGGGTTAATACTGAACATGCATTATATAATTAAGAAAATCATGCAATGTAGAGCACAAGCTATTAATATCACGAGGATATATATTAAAAGATAAATATAAGATATTTTAAAAACAGACCACCATAGTCTTTAGTTGCTTCATAAAAGGAACATTAATTGGTTTGCGGCCGATTTTTGACGCTAACGTCAATACATGTTTCTTGTCTTAATTTTTAGAAAAACACAGGTACGTGTGGACAAGACCCCCCCCCCCCCCCCCTTGATATTGAACCCCGGGGCTTATTTCTCTGTTATGTGTAGCCTTACAATACGAAAAAAATCGCTGGCGTAAAACCCCCAGAATAATCGCTCAACCAAAAAAACAAAACAAAAAAACACTATTTATTACCCCACT